AAAAATGTATGTGTTCTGGATTACATACAAATTTAAGAACAAACCTATAAAACCTATCTTGTTCATATTTTGGGCACTGCCTGAATAAGAAAATTGCTTTGGAAATTTGCACTGTCTCTTTGTTCTCTTTCAGTAGTCAACTGGAGTTCTCCGGGATTGCATGCTATGCAATGGCACATCTACTCCAGCCTCTCCTGGACTGGTGGTGAGAAAACTATGTGTAAATATCTGCTGTATTTTAATGCATGTCAAATGGAAGATTGTTAAGATGCAGATCTCAATATGCACATCAATTTGTATAAGAATATAGTGCCTTCCAAATAGTCTGGGTCCAAGCAATGTATTTATTTACTTTTTTTATACCCCACTTTTCTCACCTTGCAGGGCTTTAAAGGTCAAACCCAGCATTCTGAATGCTGCATAGAAATGGATGGATAGCCAATGGAGCTGCTTCAGCAGGGGAGTCATAGAATCCCTAGTCAACATCATGGCCATAGTATTTTGGACCTGTAGAAGTTTTCAAACAATTTCCAAGGAGCCCCACATAGAGCATGTTGCAATAGTCTAAATGGGATGTAATCGAGGCATATGTCACTGTAGCCAGATCAGATTTCTCAAGGAATAGGTGCAAATGGTGCACTAGTTGAAAATGCATCCTTGGCCACAGCCAGACCTGAGCATCAAGGTTTAACTTTGAGTCCAGGAGTACATCCAAACTGTGAAAATGAGATTTCAGGGAGAGTTTGACCCTATCCAGCACAGGCTGAATCCCTATTCTCTGATCTGTCTTCAGACTTGCCAGGTGCACCCGTCTTGTCAAGAATACGCTTCAATGTGTTCACCCTCACCCAGTCCATTACTGGAAGAAGATACTGGATTAGTATAGGAATCTGATTGAACGGAAAATGAAAGTTGTGTGATATCAACATAATGATGATATTGAACTGCCAAACTCTGTATGACCTCTCCCAATGGTTTCATTTCATTGAAATTAATTTTGTTAGGCTTGTCTCAGTTTGCCAATATGTCAATGTCACTTTAAATTCCATTACTGACTTCTGGAGTATTAGCTATCTTATTAGCTATCTTCACTAATTTGATGCCATCTGTATCTATTGTATAAAGTTTGGAAGCAACAAATCACAAGCAACATTATTGCCTATTACCAGTTGCGTTTTCATGTATGCATTCTAGTTTCTGTTAAGGATATTAGCAAAAGCTTTCTGAGCAGAAGTGTTCACATTTTATGTCTTTCCTATAAAGTTACAATAACAAAAAAAATTTAGCAATTTAATGAATAATGGAAAAGTAACTAAAGGTAACAGCAGTGGATTACTTAAGCATGGAAACAGTTACATAGCAAATTACTATTCAATAGCAACTTTACAAGCTCTGCTGTTGCCTTGCTTTTGAACAAAATCACTTCAATGGAACCAGACTTTCTGAAAGAGATTACCATGAAAGTGAGCATATTTATTCTCTTTCCATAACATAAAGAAATGCTCTCTGAAGCCATTATTTCTTTAAGAAATTCTAGATATATTCCAACAAATAAATTCATTAGACAGCATGACTGTTAGCTATATGTGGAATTATATGTACATGAACACTGTCTTCACTTTCTCTTTCATTTTTATGCTGGTTTTTAGGCTATATTATTTTAAAGGGTGTATCTGCACTGTAGAATTAATGTAGTTTGACCCTGCTTTAATTGCCATGACTAAATTCTATGGAAGAGGGGCCGACCAAGGGCAAGATGGATGGATGTTATCCTTGAAGTGACTGGCTTGACCTAGAAGGAGCCGGGAGTGGTGACAGGCGACAAGGAGCTTTAGCATGGGTTGGTCAATGAGGTCACGAAGAGTCAGAAGTGACTGAACGAAAAAACAACACAAATACTAGGGAATCATGGGAGTGGTGGTTTTTGTGAGGGACCAACACTAATTTGCAGGCAAGGCTAAACACCTTGAAAGTGCAGTGAGCTTGCATTTATAAACAGAAGAGGATTGAGTATAAAGTTTTAAAACATTTTAACAGTTTTACTATTATTTTGATATCTTAAATTAACTGTTTTTAAATTTTACAACTTATATTTTAATGTCTTGGCATATTTTATTAGCATTGTTTTGTATTTGTTAGCCACCTTGAGTCTTGTTGGGAGAAAAGCAGGATAAAAGTAAGTGAAATAATTAATAACCCTTGAAAAGAAGGGCTTCCAATAGTAAGAAAAGTCCTCCCCACTCTAAAGCAATATTTTCTTCAGTTTAGAGAGCAACCATAAACCTTCCCCCACCATCACTGCCTTGAGGCAACACAACATTGTGGTGCAGAAAGAAGTGCTTGAGTATCGCCTTGTTCTTTTGCACCCAGGTTATCTTTCCTGTTTATCTGATAGAGCTACACACAAGCCCAGTGTGTATGGGCTAGCCATCACAATGATATACACATACTGGTTTCCTACTATTGAATCAGCTCGTTACAGCTTGCTTCAAGAAAAGTGAAAACCAAATAGTGTGGTTAGAAAACCTAATTGTGGCATTAGATTCCTGTGTGGGAGTGCACTATCTTGCAGAAAGGCACAGGCACATTTGTGGCTTAGTCTTCTCCCCCCATAAACACAGATACATATGGATACTTTGTGTCAAATATTTCGTTTTTAATACTGTGGGTGGCATCAGGCATCAGGCTACTGTTTTCATATGAGATCTTCAACCTGGATTAGAAACAGCATGCTAAAAATAAGACATTCCAGCCCAAGTCAACAAGTTCTCAATTGCACAGTCCTGTCCAAGGCTGAATTACTTGATCATACTAAGGGCACATCTACATTGTAGAATTAATGTAGTTTGACACCACTTTAACTGCCACGGAACATTGGCAGTTGTAGTTTTACAATGTCGTTAGACTTCTCTGCAAAGAGTTTTGGTGCCTCAGCATACTACAACTCCCATGATGTCATAGCATTGAGCCATAGCAGTAAAGTGTGTCAAACCACATTCATTCTAGATTGGGCATGAACAAACTTCAGCTCTCCAGGTGATATAGACTTCAGCTCCCACATTTTCTGACAGCCAGAAAGCTGGCTAGGACTTCTGGGAGTTGGAAGTCCAAAACACTCGGAGGGTCGAAGTTTGTCCATGTCTGTTCTAGGTGAACCTTAACTGTGAAAGAATTAGAGGCAGATAAGTAGTCATAAGAAACTATTAATCAATCAATCCATCCTTTTTTGCTATCTAGCAAGGAAATTGACATAAGGTGCTTGAAACCTTTCTTGATGATGAATGTGTATGTAGCTCCTGACTTATCTTTATGTTGAAAAACTGCTCTTTAAAATGTGTGTACCTATGCCACTAGAATTTCTGTTCTATACCGTTTACGAAAAGCTGCCCTGGCAACTAGTTAAGGAAGCAAGATCTTGTGACCGAATCACTGAGTACAAGTGGGTATTTGGGTACACTTTAAAATGACGAACAATTTTTACCAACACAAACTTACCAGTACTTCAATGGGAAGTGTGGGCCTTCTTTGGGTTGATGAGATACTCAAATTAATTAGAATTAATGTATGCTTTCAACTTAGAGCGAAGCTAAGTCTAAATATTATGCCAAATAAATGGCAGGTGCCAAGTCAATGATCTTTAGGGCAGGTGCCACGTAAATGATCTTGGAGGGCCACAGGCCTTAGTTTAGGGATCCCTGACATAAAGTATTAAAGCAAAAACATCATACCAGGTTTCATCTCTCAGGGGAAGAAATGATTGTTGTTGTGTGCCTTCAAATCAATTTATGAGTTATGGCAACCCTAAGGTGAATGCATCATGAGATTTCCTTGCCAATCTTGAGAGAGGGCTATGCCATTGCTGTCCTCTAAGGCTAGAAGACTGTGACTTATCCAAGGTCACCCGTGCATTTTGATGGCTGAGTGAGGAACCGAACCCTCTGTCTTCAGGGTACTAGTCCAGTACCCAAACCTTAAGACCATACTGGCTCTGTTATAAATAGATTATGCTAGGACTCACTTCTGAGCTCTTACTTCATTCCTAATATTTTCTCTTAAGAGAATTAAGAACTCAAACTTGAGTTCTAGCACCACCTACAGATGATAAAAAATGATGCATTTCTCCTTATGCCACTTTTTTCGAACACAACAGAGAGATGAATGAAATATTATTGGGGAAAATTCCCCCCACTCCTTTTTTGTGGCAGTGAGTAATAATGTTCTGCCCTTTGAGCTACTAAAAACACTTGGGCAATGTTCAAAATAAGTGAAATGGTCATGCTGGAGGGTGCAAAATATGGTCTCCAATGTGCATGGAATATACCCTTCCTATAGCATGCAAATATTATTGCTTGGAGTGAGCAATAGCACATCGTTCTGGTTTAGTCTGTGGTTCCAAAAGTCTCCCCAGTCCTGATACAGAATACTTGATATCCAAAAAGCAAGTGATTCCTCGCTTTAAGTCAGTTTTTTGGAATGGATGCTTACTCCTATATTTTCTATCAACTGTCAATTTACTTCTGAATATAAAAAAGCAAAACTACTTTTTCAAAAGAAAGAGTGACTTCATATTCTATTTCTGAAACTATTCTACAGTATATCCATCAACTATCACTTTCTCCATCAATACATTGAAGGCTTATGTTGTTGTTTATTCGTTCAGTCACTTCCGACTCTTCGTGACCTCATGGACAGGCCCACACCAGAGCTCTCTGTTGGCCGTCGCCACCCCAGCTCCTTCAAAGTCAAGCCAATCACTTCAAGGATAGTACCATCCATCCATCTTGTTCTTGGTCGGCCCCTCTTCCTTTTTCTTTCCATTTTCCCCAGCATCATTCTCTTATACATGATACATATTTTAAAATGTTTTGTATAAGGCTTATACATTTTGTAAAATTGAGGACAAGACTTCAGTTTAAGGTTGCTCCATTCTTTAAAGACATCGAAACTATTGTTCATAAATTAAACATGATTTAAAAGAAACGCAAAGAACAGTTCAAAAATATTCTTCCAGAAAATTCATGAGATTTGCATTGTGTAACTGAGCAACCAACATAATACTGGGAATCACAATCACCCCCATCCTAAAACTGACTTTCTACATTTTCAGGTTTCACTCTTAGGGATTTAATTTTTTATGAATTTTATAAATATATTCTCTCTAATAAGTTGACCACAGAGTAGTGCTGGAGGATCTAGACTCATAAAGAGATATTTGCTCAGGTAAGACAAGTTTTTTTATTTGCACCTGCATTTTCTTGCTCACCCTTACAAAAGTGAAGGATCTACAATACAACAGAGCTGGAACTGTCTGTAAATCTCTAAGATCATTCCAATGCAATGTCTTTCAAAGACTATTTCTTTAAGGCTAAATCTGCCAACTAGAGCAGGAAGTACTAAAAATGAATTAGTACCATTACTGGGGTACAAAACATTACTGCATAGCAAAGAAGTGATGTCAAATAATGAAGGGTAAAGGTGAGCCTTCAGCAATGAGGCTATTGCCACGGAGTGGCACCAAATCCACAGATGGGGCAAACCTAAGAAGTTATGGATTTATTGCTGCCACCCCCAGTTTATTTAAAATATCTAAATAACATTTCTTGCTGTCCTAGACTATTTTCTAGTACTGGCTACAACAATTTATTCCTACCCTTGGAACAGCTTTCTTTTGAATTTTGAAACATATTGGAACAAAAAGAAGCCTCTTTTCTTTTCTTTCTCATATTTCATTCTTTCTTTCAATTTTTGAAAAAAGTTAATGGAATATAGTGCATAATAAAATAGCAGTTTTAGACTGTAACTTTAAGAATGAGAAAATCTGTCTTTCAAATCTGAGGACATCAGCAAAACACTTCATTTATGATCCAAGAAATCACTGTGAATATTCCTCAGAAACAATGAAATGAATGGACATAGAAGCAACAATGGGTAAAATCTGGGAACACCCAAGGATCTATATTAGTATGACTCCTATATCCATAAGGGATATATTCCTCCATGTACCATAGGAACAACAGTGAATAACTGCAAATTGAAATGAATGACTTCAGTTGGAGGTTCCCAGAGAGTCACCTTAAAGGACCTATTGAAATGGATGAATTTTGCTGGAGCTTGCCCTGGAGGACCTAGACAATTCCTGGAGTTATCTCTAGGAATTTTCTAGGTCTTCCAGGGCAAATCTATGGTAGAAGCATGGCATATAATTGCCTGGAAGAACTAGAAATTTCCTAGAGAACATATAGTCAGATGCAGTTAGGTGAAACTGCAAGTACTGGTTTTGTGGGTTTGTACTGTTGTGGAAAAAATATACTTTAGCTCAATCTGGAGAACCAGATCATACTCCCAAACCCTGAAAGTGGCAACATTACTGAGCTTGTTATATACATGTGTTGTGCTCTGTAAGAGGACATGCATTATGCATTATTTCCAGGAATGCAGAGTGTACAAGATTAGACTTGGGCTTTGTCAATATGGCTGCTTTTGCCTGTTCAACTTGGCAGCCTAAACTAGAATACATTTTCCGAGTCAAGTGTAATGTAGCTCAAAGAGCTTTGAATAAATGTCTTTTCTTTGACTAATCTGGGATGGAGTCTGCAGGACATAACAAACTTGCATGGACTCCACTTTGAATGATGGAGTAGCTTTGCTTTGGCACATCTGGGTGAGAAGAGGAGGAAAAAATGGGCGGAGGGTGAGTGGAAGTTGATACAGAGATACTCTGGTCCTCATCGGTCACCACAGTCACTTCTCCTGCTCCTTCTTGAATCAAAGCATTGAGCCCTTCCAAGTCTGAGCAGGTGATCCCAGTGCCATTGATGAAGGCCTGGCTTGCTGAGACATCATGGCTCCCTACAGGAATAGTAGGGATCAGAGTCTGGCTTGGTGCACTCCCATCTGCTTGATCATGGGCTCCAAGGAGAACTGTTGACTGGTCCACTGAAATGCTTTCCACTTGGGATCCTGCTGAAAGTGGTGGAGCAAGCAAGTTCACCTGCTGAAGGATCTGTAGTTGGCTATTACTGGAGAGATCTTCTTCAGTTTGGCTTATTAAGGCAGGAGGAACAATACTGACAGAAGCTGCCTGCACCAGGCTGTTGGCCTGAGGCATTTGGTGTCCAACAATGATCTTGACCTGCCCTTCATCATAACTTGAAGCATGTAGGGGAACCTGGAGATGGCTGACAGTAATAGGAGCACCAACCTGACTACCAGAGTCTATCTGGAAGTGAAGAACAGGCTGCTCAGTATTATTGTTCCCGTTATACTCAGCATGTTGCCTCTTATGGCTCCTCAGGGAATCCTCTCGGACAAATGAGGCCTCACAGAGATCACATCTGAATGCTTTCTTGGCCTCCAACTTGGCGACTTGCCTGGAGCTGCCTTCCTTCAGCCGATCTCCTTCCATCTTATCAACTGGTTTCTTCTTGACCTTGACCTTCTCCCGATGGGCTTTCTTTAGATGGGTAGTCAAATTGCTCCGTTGTTTAGTGTCAAATGGGCAGAATTCACATTTAAATGGGCGGTCCTTGAAATGGATCCTCTCATGGACCTTGAGGGTGGCCTTACTGGAACAGGAGTAGTTGCATTCGGGGCACTTCACTGCCTGCTCAGGCTGGTGGGTGCGAAGGTGTTGCCGGAGGCTGGTCTTGTTCCCACACTGGAACTCACACTCAGGGCATCGCAAGGCATTCTCCATGCTGTGCTTGATGCGGATGTGTGATTTCAAATTGCCTTTCATTGCGCAGCGGACATCACAGAACTCACATTTGTAGGGCTTCTCCCCAGTGTGTACGCGCATGTGCCTCTTCAAATCTGAATTGATTTTAAATTTGGCACTACAGAGACGGCACTGGAATGGAGCATCTCCTGTTGGTAAGACATATTCTGCATTAGGGTCACCTGGCACAAGAGATACAGTGTTATACAGATAAAAGATATTTCTTTAGTGAAGTTGTAGCAGTGTTTTTGCTTAAATATAAGCAAATAAAGGTTACATCTCACAACTTCTGAGGATGTCTGCCATAGATGTGGGTGAAACGTCAGGAGAGAATGCTTCTGGAAAATGGCCATACAACAACCCAGTTACATACTTTCATCTCAAAATAACACCAGAAGCCAACATTACTAACCCAAGGTTATTATACTTTGGCCTTATCATCGGACAACATGGCAAACAAAACATTTGCAAGACCTGAGCAAGACTTGAAGTCTGGGGTTCATGGAACTTTCCACTGCTAGTGTCAATGTGATGGCAAGTCAAAAGTTCAAGCAATACATATTTATTATTGTAGTCACTGGAAAAGTATGCATATGTCTGTTTGCCCTCCTATAAATATAAATAGTTGGCCACTCTGAAAGGTGGGGGGGGGGGGGGGTATAAAACAAAGCAAATAAAAACATCACTTCAAAATTCTTCTCTTTCTGTTAATCATGTATCCCTCAGTCTTTGAAGAGATGCAGAGGACTTAGGGGATGAAATGCTTATCACATTTGCAGATGGCACCAAACTAGAAGGGGAAGCTAATATCTCAGAGGACAGGATCAGACTGAAACAGATTAGGGAGTTGGACCAAAAACTAAGAAAATGAATTTCAAAAAGAAGAAAGGTACTACACTTAGGCAAAAAAGAGAGAAAGTAACGTAGAGATATAGCATGTGTACTTGGCTTGACAGGAGAAAGTGTGAAAGGGTTCTACAAGTCTTAGTAGACCAGAAGATGAACAAGACTTAGTAATGTGATGTTGTTGTTGTTCATTCGTTCAGTCGTCTCTGACTCTTCGTGACCTCATGGACCAGCCCACGCCAGAGCTCCCTGTCGGCCGTCACCACCCCCAGCTCTCTCAAGGTCAGTCCAGTCACTTCAAGGATGCCATCCATCCATCTTGACCTTGGTTGGCCCTCTTCCTTTTTCCTTCCATTTTCCCCAGCATAATTGTCTTCTCTAGGCTTTCCTGTCCTCATGATGTGGCCAAAGTACTTCAACTTTGTCTCTAGTATCTTTCCCTCCAGTGAGCAGTCGGGCTTTATTTCCTGGAGGATGGACTGGTTGGATCTTCTCGCAGTCCAAGGAACTCTCAGCACTTTCCTCCAACACCACAGCTCAAAAGCATCGATCTTCCTTCGCTCAGCCTTCCCTAAGGTCCAGCTCTCACATCCGTAGGTTACTACAGGGAATACCATGGCTTTGACTAGGCGGATCTTTGTTGCCAGTCTGATGTCTCTACTCTTTACTATTTTATCGAGACTGGACATTGCTCTCCTCCCAAGAAGTAAGCGTCTTCTGATTTCCTGGCCACAGTCTACATCTGCAGTAATCTTTGCACCTAGAAATACAAAGTCTGTCACGGCCTCCACATTTTCTCCCTCTATTTTCCAGTTGTCAATCATTCTTGTTGCCATAATCTTGGTTTTTTTGATGTTTAGCTGCAACCCGGCTTTTGCGCTTTCTTCTTTCACCTTGATTAGAAGGCTCCTCACCTCCTCCTCGCTTTCGGCCATCAGAGTGGTGTCATCTGCATATCTGAGGTTGTTAATGTTTCTTCCAGCAATTTTCACCCCGCCTTTGCATTCATCAAGCCCCGCACATCGCATGATGTGTTCTGCATACAAGTTGAATAGGTTGGGTGAGAGTATACAACCCTGCTGTACGCCTTTCCCAATCTTGAACCAGTCTGTTGTTCCATGGTCAGTTCTTACTGTTGCTACTTGGTCCTTGTACAGATTCCTCAGGAGAGAGACAAGGTGGCTTGGGATGCCCATCCCACTAAGAACTTGCCACAATTTATTATGATCCACATAGTCAAAGGCTTTAGAATAGTCAATGAAGCAGAAGTAGATGTTTTTCTGAAACTCCCTGCCTTTCTCCATTATCCAGCGATATTGGCAATTTGGTCTCTCGTTCCTCTGCCTTTTCTAAACCCAGCTTGTACATCTGGCAACTCTCGCTCCATGTATTGCTGGAGTCTTCTTTGCAGGATCTTGAGCATTACCTTACTGGCATGAGAAATAAGGGCCACTGTACGGAAGTTTGAGCAGTCTTTGCATTTCCCTTTTTTGGTATGGGGATATAAGTTGATTTTTTCCAGTCTGATGGCCATTCTTGTGTTTTCCATATTTGCTGGCAAATGGCATGCATCACCTTGACAGCATCATCTTTTAAGATTTTAAACAGTTCAGCTGGGATCCCGTCATCTCCTGCTGCCTTGTTGTTAGCAATGCTTCTTAAGGTCCATTCAACCTCACTCCTCAGGATGTCTGGTTCTAATTCATTCACCACACCGTCAAAACTATCCTCAATATTATTATCCTTCCTATACAGATCTTCTGTATAGTCTCGCCACCTTCTCTTGAGCTCTTCAGCTTCTGTTAGGTCCCTGCCATCTTTGTTTCTTATCATACCAATTTTTGCCTGAAATTTACCTCCAATGTTTCTAATTTTCTGGAAGAGGTCTCTTGTCCTTCCTATTCTGTTGTCTTCTTCCACTTCCATGCATTGCTTATTTAAAAATAGTTCCTTATCTCTTCTGGCTAACCTCCGGAATTGCGCATTTAACTGGGCATATCTCCCCTTATTCACTGTTTCCTTTTGCTTTCCTCCTTTCTTGGGCTACTTCCAGTGTCTCAGCAGACAACCATTTTGCCTTCTTGGTTTTCTTTTTCTTTGGACGTACTTTGTTGCCGTCTCCTGAACAATGTTGCGGACTTCTGTCCATAGTTCTTCTGGGACTCTGTTTACTAAATCTAGTCCTTCAAATCTGTTCTTCACTTCCACTGTATATTCGCTCGGAATGTTAGTGAGATCATATCTAACTGGTCTGTGTATTTTCCCTGATCTCTTTAGTTTTATTTTAAATTGAGCAATAAGAAGTTCATGATCTGAGCTACAGTCAGCCCCAGGTCTTGTTTTCACCGACTGGATGGATGTCCGCCACCTTTGGCTGCAAAGGATGTAGTCAATCTGATTTCGGTGCTGACCATCTGGTGAAGTCCATGTGTAAAGCCGTCTTTTAGGTTGTTGGAAGAGAGTGTTTGTTATACACAGCGAGTTTTCCTGGCAAAATTCTATCAGCCTGCGTCCCGCTTCATTTTGTTCTCCCAGACCATGCTTGCCTGTGATCCCTGTTGTCATTTGACTTCCCACCTTGGCATTCCAGTCTCCTGTAATGAAAATAATGTCTCTTTTTGGTGTATTATCCAGTAGGTCCTGCAGATCCTCATAGAACTGATCTACTTCTGCTTCTTCGGCAGCTGTGGTTGGGGCGTATATTTGGATCACTGTAATGTTGAAAGGCTTTCCTTGCACTCGAATTGAGATCATTCTGTCATTTTTTGGGTTGTATCCAAGCACCGCTTTAGCGAATTTCTTATTAATTATGAAGGCTACTCCATTTCTTCGATGTTCCTCTTGTCTGCAGTAGTAGATCTGGTGGTCATCTGATGTGAAGTGGCCCATTCCAGTCCATTTCAGTTCGCTGACCCCCAGAATGTCTATCTTTAGTCTTGACATCTCACCAATAACAACATCCAATTTGCCCTGGCTCATAGATCTTACATTCCAGGTTCCTATGGTGTGTTGATCTTTAGAGCATCGGATCGTCGTTCACCTCCAGTACCGTCGGCCGCTAGCCTTCCTTTCGGCTTTGAGCTAGCTGCGTCATCACATCTGGGGCTAGTTGAACTTATCCTCTGCTCCTCCCCAGTAGCATTTTGGCCATCTTCCGACCTGGGAGTCCCATCTTCCAATGGCATACCGACATATCTCTGGTTGTACTGGTCCATTTAGTTTTCTTGGCAAGGATACTGGAGTGGTTTGCCATTGCCTTCCCCAGGGATCACGCTTGGTCTGACCTCTCTGCCACGACCGTCCCGTCTTGGGTGGCCCTTCACGGTTTCGCTCATGACATCATTGAGGTGCTCAAGCTCCAGCGCCCCGACAAGGCGGTGATCCTTTGCTGGAGTAATGTGATAGGTAAAGGTAAATGTTTTCCCCTGACATTAAGTCCAGTCATGTCCGGCTCTGAGGGTTGGTGCTCATTTCTAAGCCGAAGAGCTGGTATTGTCCGTAGACACCTCCAAGGTCATGTGGCCAGTATGATTCATGGAGCATCATTACCTTCTTGCCGGAGAGATACCTATTGATCTACTCACATTTACATGTTTTTGAACTGCTAGGTTGGCAGAAGCTGGGGCTAACAGCGGAAGCTCACGTCGCTCCTCGGATTCGAACCTGTGACCTTTAATCCCAGTGGCGCAGTGGGTTAAAGCAAGTTCAGCAGCTCAGTGCTTTAACCCACTGCGTCACTGGCGGCTGTAGTGTGATACGACAACTAAAAAAAAATAAATTCTAGGATGAATTGATATGAGTATAGTGTCTAGACCACACATGGGCAAATTTCAGCTCTCCAGTGTTTTGGACTTCAACGCCAGTGTTTTGGACTTCAACTCTAGCCAGTAAGCTGGCTGGGATTTCTGGGAATTGAAGTCCAACACACCTGGAGGGCTGAAGTTTGCTCATGCTTGGTCTAGTCTGAAGTAAATAGCAACACCACTCTATTCTGTTTTGGTCAGACCTCTCATGGAATGCTGTGTCCAGTTCTGGGCATCATAGTTCAAGAAATGTGGAACGTGTCCAGAGGAGGGCAACTAAAATGATCAAAGGCCTGGAAGCCAAGCCCTATGGGAGCAGAGTATGTTTAGCTTGGGGAAGAGAAGGTTAAGAGAGGACATAACAGCTAAATTGAAATACCTGAAAGTATGTCATATTGAGGTGGGAGCACACTAGTTTTCTGCTACTCCGAAGAGCAGGACACAGAGCAATGGATTTAGACTACAGGAAAAGAGATTCCACCTAAATATTAGAAAAACCTTCCTGAGAGTAAGAGCTCTTTTCCAGTGGAATTATGTTGCCTTGGAGTGTGGTGGTCTCCTTATTTGAAGATATTTAAATAGAGGCTGGCTGGCCTTCTGTCCGGAAGGCTGTAATTCCTGCACAGCATGGGGCTGGACAGGATGACTCTTGTAGTCTCTTCCAATTCAATGATTTTATGTCTTATTGTCCTCCTTGCTCTGGATTGCACAATACCTGTGTTGAGATTTCTTCTGTTTCTAGCTTTTCTTTCCTGCCATTAAAAATAATATTCCCTCCACTATGGTCAACCCAGAACTCACGCTACTTAGCTCAGGTAAGCCCTATTGACATTAGGCTACTGGCATCCATTTAGAGTCCCTTCCCTTGTTTCTATTATATTTTATCTTCAAGGATCTTTCCCCACCTGTTCCACTTCACTCACTCTGCTCTTATTCAAGTATTTACTGTCTTTTTATCAAATCCCATCTTGGCATCCCATAGGCTGCCATGACACATTATGTCTTAAAATTCCTAACACATTTTTCTCTACTATATGATGGAATTCACACTGCTGGCTCCTCGAGGCTTTGGGTGTTTCTATACGAACAGACCAAAATGTCAATGATCAAGGGATTATGGGAGTTGTCAGGGATGATGGAGCTTGCCTATCTTTGCCTAGCATCTACATACACAACTCAGCAGGGAGCAAAGAGCTGCATCTGCACTCAGAAATGTGGAAATATTATATCATAGGGCCCTTGTGCTCTCTTCAAACTCTATAATTCTATGATTCCGAACAACATTTTGAGTTTTCCTATAATATCCTTGAAAAGGGGTTTGATTGTTGGTTTGTTATACACCTATATGAGTATATAAATAAAATTGTAATGTTCGTTTGTGGGATTAACATAACTCAAAAACCACTGGATGAACTGACATAAAATTTGGACACAATACACCTATCAGGCCAACGAGTGACCAGCACCCATAAAAACACTGAAGAACATAGCAGAAGAGACTTTAAAATGCCAAAAACAAACACAAAACCATTACAACACATGCACAAAAGCAAAAACATACACAAACACACATATGTTCACAGATACACAAATATATACACACATATATGCATACACACACACACACACACAGATTGGTCCACAGCAACGCATGGCAGGGGACGGCTAATGTTTCATATATTTGCTATGCTAACATTAAAAACTGCCATAAAACACACATTCTTTCAAAAAGGAAAGAAAGTGAAATGCAACAAAGCAAGACATATATGAAGCGTGCCAATGTAAATGAGAATATAAAACAAACCCCTGCATAAAAATTTGCAGATAAAACATTACATTAGCTTTTTTTTTTGGAAGGGTTATGCCTCTTTGGCTGGTAATAACTTGCCTAATCTCCATAGCAATATAGTGCAAAAATGGATAGTATTGATACCTTCCCAGTAGGAATTATGGGTTCTCATTTGGTAAGAATAGTTGGTTATTGCTAATACTACCTTGTAAAATACCACTGGTTCCTGATTCCATCTATTAGAATGGTATCATACACACACACGCACACTCACACAAAATCTTAAATGAACCATGGGGGTGACATTTAAAAGAGAGAAAAAAATGTAGGGAGGCCCTTAGTTCAATGAGCATTGCTGTTCTTTAATAATCACGACACATATGGCTTAATTTACCTTACTAGTTAATATTTTATGAATCTACATAAATGGAAGACTGTAAAAATGTATGCATAATTTGTTTAACTGGCTCCATATTTCACTGATCCAGCTGAAGATTTTTCAAATGACGATGCGACATACTGTGCTAATCCATGTGTCTGTTTAATAATTGAGATCCTGGGTATAAAATGTTTATTATATACATTTTATTAATGAAGACACACAGGCTGCCAGTTCAGTGAATTTTGCAAGCTGGTTCTTCCAGCGATGCATGCTTAAGGTCTGCACTGGAAATAAATTATTGGATTTTAATCCACTTTCCTGATGAAAGTCTGATGCAGTACACATTGCAAGAGCCCCAATTTCAGATGCTAGACTGTACTGGGGGGAAAAAGCAAACAGAGTCTAAATGCTAGCAATACATTTAGTTTTATAATTCAGAGATTGCTCTGCGTTGCAGATTTATCCCACTGAACTTACAATATTTGACTGTGGCAAAAAAAGCTTAAGAAAAAGAAAATCCAAAGGAGCTCATAGCTAAGAGAAACCATCCATGCAAGAAATTTTAGAGAAATAAGCAGAGAATGGAAAATGCTGAGCTAATGGTCTGAAGGATCCAAACCAAGAAGTGAGAAAAACAAAAAAAAATCCTTACTTTGCAGATTTGAAATACAATTATATGAAAGGGCTCAATTTCACAATCTGGAACTCTCAAAATATATCCTGAGTGCTATTTTTGAGCAGAGAAAGAGCTTGTAATAGCATCTGCATTCACCTGCCCTAGTATAAACATCTGCAGTGTAGCCTCTGAAATTCCATATCTAAGAAGCCGTTATTCATGCTTCGTCTCAAGCCCCCGACCTCATAGATCAGAGCAAGACACTTTTCAGGTTTGGAATTTCAGCTTGGTTCTGATGAAGCCCTTTTAAGCTTTATAAAAATGTTTCCAGCCATCATGATTCAAACGATTATCATACAGACAACAATGAGAGAAAGCCTGAAGTAGTGAGATTGTACTTATGGCCATCTCCAAACACAATTCGTAGGAACTTTAACATAATTGGTCTATTATACTAGTAAATCTATACTGGCTTTTCAGTGAACCTAATATGGTATTAAACACAAAGTGTTAAGCACAAAGTAGCTGCGCCCCCGGTGGCGCAGTGGGTTAAAGCACTGAGCTGCTGAGCTGGTTGATCGAAAGGTCGCAGGTTCGATTCCGGGGAGCGGCGTGAGCTTCCGCTGTCAGCCCTAGCTTCTGCCAACCTAGCAGTTCGAAAACATGCAAATGTGAGTAGATCAATAGGTACCGCTCCGGCGGGAAGGTAACGGCGCTCTGCAGTCATGCCGGCCACATGACCTTGGAGGTGTCTACGGACAACGCTGGCTCTTCGGCTTAGAAATGGAGATGAGCACCACCCCAGAGTCAGACATGACTGGACTTAATGTCAGGGGACTACCTTTATCTTTAGCTGCACACAATAACATCCTGCGGAAACTTACTGGCAGCGCATGGGGTGCAGACCCAAAATTAATAAGCCCTGGTCTTACTCAACTGCTGAGTATGTCTGCCCTGTTTGGCACAAGTCTGCCCACGCGAAGCAGGTGAATATAGCACTGAATGAAACATGTAGAATAATCACAAGACATCTCAAACCTATACTTGTTGATAGATTCTGTAAGTTAGCTGGCATTGCCCCCCCCCCCCCACTTCTCCGATGTGTGATGGGAAGTTGCTGCTAACTGTAAGAGAAATGAGGGCGAACACTGTGAAAGCCATTCACTGCATGGCTATCAGCCTCCTCCCAGCAGATTCAAATCAAGAAAAAGCTTCATGAGAACCACCACTTTTCTTAATGTTTCCCCAGCAACATCAAGAGGATCCTTCTGGGCAGCTAAACTAGGAAATCCCAATTGGATGGTCCCCCATGAGGGTCTGACTCCAGGAGTAACTAAGAATGGGAAACTTGGAAGTCTCTGAACAGATTCAGAATTGGAGTGGGCAGATCAAGAGGCAACCTGGCAAAATGGCACTGCCTAAAAGAATCCTCCACCTTGCGCGACTGTGGAGCAGAACAAACAACTCCGCATCTGTATGCTTGCCCACAATGCCTGCCTCATGCACAGAGGAAGAATTGTTTAAAGCTACAGACAATGCAATCGCTGTTGCCCGTTTTTGATCAAAAATTATTTAGCCGCTTGTGCTCCCCCTTTTTATCAGTTTTATGTTTATTTATGCAATGCTTTTGACACAAAATAAAATAATCCTGTATGACCCCTATATTCAGTGTTGAATGAATACCAAGTGTTGTAAGCTATGTTTCAGAAGAAGGAGCTGGCAAATCCACCATTTCTGAACTAGGAAAGCCTATGCCATAAACTGACAAACTGCCTGAAGGCACAAACACACACCTATAGTTTTCTCCTCCATTTGAATTCTTTTGAGATGTGTGTTGCTTATGTAAATTTATTCACCTAATTTCTGATTGTTCCATTTTTGCTGATGTCCTTATGAATTGCTTTTCTTTGGTTCAATTGTTTTTGCCCTACAGTACAACCTTTATATCCGGAGGACTAGTATTGTGATTTTACTGATCCATATCCAACCAAATATGTCCTCCTTCAGGATGTTCTAGGTCTGTCAGTGTGGTTCTATGGTTTTCTTGGGTGAGATGTCGTTCATTTCAATAGATTTTGCTATTATTCTAGTAGTTTCACATACCCACATGAAGTCTGGGACTGTATCCCCTATAAATATAGGGGCTGTACTGTATTAACGAAATACTTTTTTTCCTTCAGCAAAACCTCCTTGCTCCTGAGCAAAGCCAATATGCTAAAACACCCCTGACTTACCTGTATGAGATCTGAGATGAACGGTGAGCTGGCTGGAGTTTCGGCTGGCATAAGGGCAGATTTGGCATTTAAAAGGACGCTCATTTGAATGGATGCGCTGGTGCTTGTTGAGGCTGCTGCTCTCAGCAGCTGCATAGTCACAGTCTTTACACTTGTAGGGCTTCACTCCGCTGTGGGATCGCATGTGCATTTTCAACTTGTCCTTGCGGCTGAAGCACTTGCTGCAAACTTCACATTTATGGGGCTTGTCACCTACAGAAGAAAAATTGGCACTGCGGAGTGAATTTGAGTAGATCAGGAGTGGGAAATGTGGGGCCCTCAAAATCCACATTATTTGATTTGAACTGGATCATATGGCAGTGTAGACTGAGATAATCCAATTCAAACAACATAATGTGGATTTTCTGCTAACCTGGATTATCTGGTAATGTAGAAGGCACCTAAGACTGCTTTTGTTGCCATCTCCAGACCCATGATGTGACTTTATGCGGTCCTCCAAAAAGCAAACTGGCATGTGGAAACCTCCAGGAATCAAAATGCACCTTTTAAATAAGTAGCAGGGTCTACTGCTCTGTAACATTAAAAATAACTATTTCTTTTGAATTTTCATTTAGCCCTCAAAAGGGCTCAGGAACAGAATATTGTCCTCTTAATCCACTGAAATTGCCAAACACTGCAGTAGACAAAATGCAAAGGGAGTTATCTTTCCCTTATTGTAATAAATATTCAAATATTTACCTGTATGTGTTCTTAAATGCCGTTCCATGTCTTTCATACCATAAGATGTCTTGAATTGACAGCCTAGAAAAGGAGGGGATAAGAGGTTGTATTTATTTTGTAGCTCAAACTTCCTCGAAATGTGACTTCCTTTTCTCATAGCATCCCTATGAAATATGGCAGGTGAAGGGCTGTTGATTGGAGACACAGTGCTCTCGTGCCACAACAAACTACAAATCCCAGGATACCACAGGAATGAGCTATGGCATTCAAAGTGCTGCCAACTGCTATCATTTTTCAAGTGTAGATGGTCTTGTAGGGGAATGAAAATCTGAATCTCTTGATTCTGATCCAGTGTTCTATCACAGCTAATACAGGAGCTGCAATGGCTTAGACAGATACAGTAGTAAATGTAGAAAGAGACGTGTGAATGAAAATGAAATGAAAAACAACTTGAAGTTAATGTGTAGAGCAGGTGAAGAACTAGTCAGACCTTGGTGAGAGAGAAGTGGAAGAAGGTCTTTGCCAGCTTAAGGGAAAACAGTGTATCTCAGAGAGAGAACACAATAAGAGCATAGAATCAGAATAATAGAGACTTGTTCAAGTTCACAGAAAAGTAAATGTTACTTAAAAATGCAGACATGCCTGGATTTATGTGTATATATCAGACATAATTGAAATGAAACCGGCCCAGTCAATTTATCTTAATTCAGGTCCACTGTTCTGTCCCAGGCATTCCTGACCTGGTGCCCTTTGGATGTGATGAACTGGATTCTCAACCAACTGGCCACCCTGTGTAGGAATCATGGGGTTTATAATCCAACATATCTAGAAGGCAAATTCACCATACCATACTTCTGCCTTTGTTTATGCTCAGGGGCACTCAGGTGTTATTCTTGAGTTACAATAGCAATTTGAGATAAGCACAAGGAAGCAAAAAAAAAAAAAACACAACACACCATAAATTTTACTCAAGATTTGAAAGCAAAGAAGCAAAGACAGGTCCTGAAACAATGAATATATATGTTCTAATGAAGTTAACTGACCTAATCATACAAGGAAGGGTATTTTCCCCCCTTCCATGACTTTAGGCTTATTTGATCAATGGCTATATAAATTAATTAAAAAGCACTTCCATGAATCTTCTTCGAACTTTGTGGCAATGCCGCTGATTAAAATTAATTTAAGCATTGCCAATTTATTTCCTCTTTCCATCTCTTGAAGCAGCCAAGCAGTGGATGGAATGTAAATACAATTCAGAGAATAATTCACAAGTTGCAAAGTCCCATGAGCCTTTGAGCTGGAGGGATAAGCCGCTGAAAAACCAGGAGCTACTCCATGCATCATATTATTATTTTTTGCTTTGTGTTCAGGCTGAAAATGCAGCCCCTGAATCTCAGGTTTGCTTGCATTTGCATGCAATAAAGTAGTATAAGAACCAAGAAGAAAACACAAGAATCCTGTCATTTTCTTGACCCTTCTCTACAAATGCTTGTCTTGAATGCATGAATACAAGTAGTCCCCAGGTTATGAACAAAATAGGATCTGAAGATTTGTTCTTAAATTAGATTTGTATGTAAGTTGGAACAGGTATATTTTAAGTGTAATTCTAGTCCCATGTATGCATATGTATGTAAAGTTTTGGATAACACAGAGAAGGGTTAACATCTCTGTGGTGTTTGTTTTGCTGTCTGTAACCCTGTTCTGAAGATTTCACCTTACTTTCTGTCCCTGTGATAATTGGATTTTGAAAAAAAAAAAGACTTCTTGTGGAAACAATAATTGGTGAGAAAGCTTCCAAGGAGATACCTTTCCCCCGTGATAATTCTTCTAGGAGTGACTCTTCCTTCCTAGGGGCAAATTTCTCTCACTTCCTGTTGTCTCACTCTCATTCTTAATTGTGAGTTGTTTGTAAGTCAGATGTTTATAACTTGAGGACTGCCTGTAATTTCGATAAGTTCGCAATTATCTTCTCCATGTTAAATGAACCTAAAGCTAGATGAAATATATGCTTTTTAATAATGCAAATAGCAACCATCGGAGCGCTTGTAAATTATGGAGATCATCTAAGAGTGGGGATGGTGAATCTAACCCTTTCTACTCCTCCTAAGGTTCTGGTGGAGACTGCTTTCCTACAGTGCATCTACACTGTGGAATGAATGCAGTTTGACACCATTTTAACTGACATGGCTCAATGCTATGGAATACTGGGATTTCCAGGTTGCTGTGAGTTTTCCAGGCCGTATGGCCATGTTCCAAAACCATTCTCTCCTGACGTTTCGCCCACATCTATGTCAGGCATCCTCAGAAAATGTGAGGTCTGTTAGAAACTAGGCAAGTAAGGTTTATATATCTGTGGAATGTCCAGGGCGGGAAAAGAACTCCTGTCTGCGTGTGAATGTTGCAGTTGGCCACCTAGATTAGCATCCTGGCTGATTCCTGCCTAGGGAAATCCTTTGTTGGGAGTATTCCCCCAGGCAGGGGTGAATTTGTAGTTTGGTGAGGCACCTACACTTTTTGATAGAGAAGTCAAAAGACATTGCAAAACTACAACTCCCAAGATTCCGTGTTAGTTAAAGTGGTGTCAAACTGCATTACTTCTGCAATGTAGACAAACCCTTTCTATGATCAAGTTAGCTTGACAAACTGCACAGAAGTGACTTGCATGTATGCTTGGTAACTATATAAAGGTATTGATCCCAAAGTACACATTCCTTCCCTCCTCTCTTTTAGTATTGACTTCAATGTCTTAAATATTGCACAATGTATCTAAAATACAGTGTCCAGTCTGTAATAATATATGTTCTATGAGGCAGTTGGACATGTATAATTATCATGACTTAATGCTATGGAATCCTGAAATGTGTACTTTGGTGAGGTACCAACACTATTTGGCAGAGGAGGCTAAATACCTTGGAAAACCACAGCTCCTGTGATTCATAACATTGAGCCATGACAGTTAGTGGTGTCAAATGATCTATGTCCAACTGCCTCATAGAGCATATATTATTACTGGCTGGATACTGTATATTAGATATATTTTATTTATTATTTATTTATTTACCACATTTGTACTTTCCCTTCTCACCCCGAAGGGGACTCAGAGCAGCCTTACAAAAGGGAACAATTCGATGCCATACATATACATATCAATAAAATAAACAAATACATTTTGCAATATTTAAGGCATTAAGGAAGGAAAGAGTGTACATATTTTGTGATCAATGCCTTAATAGTGTTATATGAAAGCCAATTCTGTGCATTTAGCCCAGCTGACTATATAACATAAATATTTGGCAGCATAATATAATAGGTGATATATCCTCTACAGCCAAAGAATGGCAACCTTGACAGGAATCCAGCAAAAGATGCCAGTGTTGTATGTATGTATGATACACACACACACCAAGGAACTCCAAAGGAGTATATGTTATAAGCAATAATCTCAGTCATATGTGATGGAAGAAAGTTAACAGGCACCAGTGAGATTATGATCTGATTAGTGGCCTGTCAAAAGAGTACTAAAAGTCTTATTGGACTGGATGAGAGAAATGGCCTTGCACAATGATGGGATGAGTAGTTACCTTGGACAAAGACCAGCAAAATTTATATGAAATTTGCTGATAACAAAACATCAGTAAAATGTGCTCCTGATAGATACGAATAGAGGGGAAGAATGATTTCAGTATATATGCAGGTTCAAAGGAGAAGAGAAGGCAAGCAAGTTTGTAACTACTTCCATAGAGCTGTACACATGGCTGTAAAAAACAGCTGTCTATTATGCAGTTTCAAAGGTACCATACCTGATAATACTAATGATAGACAGGCTAGTTGATACCATGCTATAGTGCATTGTCTGTTATGGAAAAAATAATAATAACTGCCTATTGTTCTGATAAAGGTATAGAGACGCCCATGGAAAAGAATAGTTTCCTCCACAGATGTGTCTGAGATGTATAGAATTCCTCAACATGTCATTGTTATAGTGTTATGAAAGATGATTGATTCCTTGCAGACAATTAGTATAAAAGGAGCATACAAAGAGTGTAAGTCAAGCCCCTTCTTCACCACCATATAAAATCCACGTTATATGCTTTGGACTGGATTATATGGCAGTGGACTTAGTGCCCTTCCAAGCAGCCATATAACCCGGAATATCAAGGCAGATAATCCACAATATCTGCTTTCAACTGGGTTATCTGAGTCCACACTGCCATATAACCCAGTTCAAAGAAGATAATGTGGAATTTTATACAGCTGTGTGGAAGGGACCTCATAAAATCCAGTTCAAAGCAGATAATGTGGATCATCTGCTTTGATAATCTGAATTATATGGCAGTGTAGAAGGGACCTCAATGTCATGTAATGCTCCTCTCCAAGAGAATAATATGAGTGTAATTACAGTAAAACTCCATATCAACAAGGGACAAATTCCTGTACTATCTGTGGAAATGCGAAACTGCAGAACCCTCTTGAAACGAATGGCTTCTGCCTGAAGCATGTCACAAAATTGTTTTGGAGGACCTAGAAAATGCCCAGAGAGAACATAATCCTTTGGATGCAGCTAAGTGAAATCAGGGACATGGAATCATTCTGTATTGATTAGAGTGTATTAATCAAAAGCTAAAATAGTACAAAGCTGCCTATTAACTTTTCCAATCTTGTCAAATATCCTGAAATTTCAGTGCTTCAGATTTCTCAAAGAGAATGTTGTTGTTAGTCAGCCTGTTAGTACAATGCCATCCTCTATGAAGTTGGATGCTCAAGTGACCAAGTTAATGGATGCCGGGGAAATCCTAGCTGATATACTGAGAAATGGCAGCTGATAAATGTGATAGGATGGAAGAATTCAACCCGTTTCAGTATTTTACCAGGATAAACACAAAGCACATAGACAGCATATATGTTACCTGGATAGCAGCAGTTGAGTTTTTTCTGTGCCGTTGATGCGGTGGATTTTTTGGTGCGAGGTTTCGGTGGAGTGGTGACAACCGTAGTAGTTTGAGGCTCACTGTTCTCAGCAGGAAGGTATGTTTGGTAGCCATGCTCAAAAACAAACTCAGGCGCAGAAACTGAGAAACACAAAGAGACTAGGTTTTCCAAAACATCAGAGCTATACACAATGACACACCTTCTCTAAACCCTCATGTAACTTATCAAAGATCTCTTGATGTCAAGAACGTGATGCAACCTTCTCCTTACTGTGTTGCCAACATGAGAGAAATGTTGCAAAGTTCACCAAGTAAAATTAATCAGGAGATTCCATCTGAACATGAGGAAGAACTTCCTGACTGTGAGAGCCGTTCAGAAGTGGTGGAGGCTCCTTCTTTGGAAGCTTTTAAATAGAGGCTGGATGGCCATCTGTCAGGGGTGATTTGAATGCAATATTCCTGCTTCTTGGCAGGGGGTTGGACTGGATGGTCAATGAGGTCTCTTCCAACTCTTTGATTCTATGATTCTAGGAGCAAATATTTTTTAGTTAATTATGGAGTGCAGAGCAAAATCTTATACAGTATGACCACCACATCCATTGAGGATATGTTCCTGGACTAAGTGTGGAAACACAAATCCATGGATAATAGTGAACCCAACTGAAATTAACTACTTCTAGAAGAACCATACCAGATCGTGGTGCAGAATATATAAAATGTCTCGCAGTGGGTTAAAGCACTGAGCTACTGAGCTTGTTGATTGAAAGGTCACAGGTTCGATTCCGGGGAGCGGCGTGATCTTCCGCTGTCAGCCCTAGCTTCTGCCAACCTAGCAGTTCGAAAACATGCAAATGTGAGTAGATCAATAGGTACCGCTCTGGCGGGAAGGTAATGGCGCTCCATGCAGTCATGCTGGCCACATGACCTTGGAGGTGTCTACGGACAACGCTGGCTCTTCGGCTTAGAAATGGAGATGAGCACCGCACCCCAGAGTCAGACATGACTGGACTTAATGTCAGGGGACTACCTTTACCTACCTAAAATTTCTAGTTCCTCCAGCACAACTTTATGGTAAATTTCCAATAAGCATGTCACTGAATTATACAGGCCTAGAAAATGCCTAGGGAACATTTTGTTTAGATGTGGGTAAGTGAAACAATGGTTTGGGTCCAGGTTACCTACAGGACTGCCTTCTCCCGTATAATCTGCCCAGAACACTTAGGTCCTCTGGAGGATGCTTACTCCAACCAGTCAGAAACCCAACTGGCAACCTTCACCAGAGAACCTTTACATCAGCCACACCAAGAAGACTGTGGAAAGACCTGCTGGAAAATTTCCAACAGCTAAATGAGCTGTTGGAATTAAAAACCCACCTGAAGATCTAGCTCTTCTGGCAGGCCTATCCAATCAGTTTTAACCATGAATTCAAAACTCACTATATTTTAATATTTATTCTGTGTATTTTAATTCATATAATTTGTAGAAATACATTTTAATATGTGTTTTGTGTGTGTTTTAGCTATGTTGTAAGCTGCCTTGAGCCATGATGAAAGCCATAAGAATTTTATTATTATTATTATTATTATTATTATTAATAATAATAATAATAATAATAATAATAATAATAATGGGTTCATGCTGTACAGGAAATTCCCACACTATATAACAATTGAGGATTTTAACTATTTTTTTAAAATTGTAATTGTTATTTATAAATTTGTGTGATAGCATTGAATGGGTGCTTGTTGTGAAGCTGCCCTGAGAAGGATGGGATACAAATATGCGAAATAAATAAATAAGTATACAACCTGAAAAACCTACAACAACCTATTGATTCCGGCCATGAAAGCCTTCGACAATAAGTAAATAAGTAAATAAATAAATAAATACACTAATTTTATCTGGTGTTGTTTCAATATCACTGTTGTCTCTGATTTTGTGATTTATGGATTACGTCCAACATAGTGCTTGCAGCAGGTTCTGAGTTTTTCTTCTTTGGTTTTTCTATTGTGTATCAGCAAAAACTTTCTCTATAGCATCGTTCAGCCCTCCAAATCAGTTTTTACACTGTACAGAGAGCTCACCCCATCAGGTATGCTTGTGCAAGTAAAAGTACAGAACTGGTTCCTTCCCTACATTTCTACTTTATTTGTACATTGCCAAGAGAATGCTTTGGATCATTTAAAATGCTGGAAATAGCTAAAGCAAATAATTACTGAGAAATTAATCCCACATAGCTGCAGATGCACACCTAATTGGAAGCAAGCCCACTGAACTCAGGTGAGACTTGCTTCAAGTTGGAAAAAAAATAATCTCAGGATTAAATATTAACATTATCAACATCATCATTACCATCTTTATTTATACTCCACTTTCCCCCTAAGATTGGGACTCAAGACAGTTTGCAAATTAAGATAACTACAAAACAGTTAAAAACGTACAAAAGATCAACATAAAAATAACCAAGCTATTAAAATATTAAAATATATTTAAACAGTACAATGAAAAACAATACAGAACCTGTGTAAAAGCCCTTTCCTCAAAATGCTTCAGTTCTAAATGCTTATGGAAATTAAAACAAAGCTTTTTGTCTATCAAAGGGACTGCAAGGAGTGTAGCTTCCCTGGGAAGTTCCAGAACCTGGGGGAAGCCACTAAGGAGGCCCTGTCTTATATCTCCATTAAACATAGCTCTGAAGGCCATGGGACTGAAAGAAAAGCCTTCCTAAGATTGAGGCTCCTGTAGGAAGACATTCTATCAAATGGCCTGGACCAGGAATATCAGACACAAGGCAGGAATCAGCTAAGGTTTGAAGCTGCAAAGCTATTCAATGCTAATCAAAGTGACCAACTGCAACATTCACACTTGCCTGAAACAGACTAGAGTTCTTTTCCCACCTTGGACATTCCACAGATATACAAACTTTACTTGCCTAGTTTCTAACAGACCTCACAACCTCTGAGGATGCCTGCCATAGATGTGGAGGAAATGTCAGGAGAGAATGCTTCTGGAATATGGTCATACAATCTGGAAAACTCACAGCAACCCAGTCTATCTTTTCTGCTTTGAAGCCACTTGGATCAATACCTGTGATGGTTTGAGTCTCCGAAGTGATGGTTCTGGTTGTGGTTTGTGTTGCTGGCACTGTCTCCTCTGCTACAAACTGTACTGTTCCAGTAGCTCCAGAAGTTGTACCTGTCAGATGGCAGCTATTTCTCTTGTGAGCAACAAATGCGTCGAGATTGTTGAACTGCTGCTTGCACAGACCACATATGTGGATATCAGGAGCAAGTTCCACTAGGACAGTGGTGCCTCCAGGAACTGCCAAAATGCAATTAATCAGATTACACAATACAGTTAGTCCTCCACATTTGCTGGGGTTGGGGAGCAGCACATTCATAAAAACCCATTTGGCATTTGTTTTAATCTTTCTAGGAATCTCTACATCTTCCAGCTGAAAATTGACCACGTGATTGCACTGATTATTGGAACTTCATTGCAGTGTGCAGTTGTGTCACACAAATGCAACAATAAAATGAGAAAAATCTTCGAAATGCATGCTATTATCTTATAAATAATATATTTTAAAATATATAAATGAAAGGTTTTTATGAGGTTTGTTGTGTCCCCATACATTTCGTTACTGTCTGCCTCTCTTATAATGGTTTAACCCAGGGGTCCACAAACTTTTTAAACAGAGGGCCATGTCATAGTTCCTCAAACTGTTGGAGGGCCGGATTATAATTGGAAAAAAACATGAATGAATTCCTATGCATACTGTAAAGATCCCTTACCTTTCCAGCCTGGGTGGCAGGGCCTAGGAGAAGCAGGCCAGTTAGTTGCAGCTTTGGAGGGCCTGGCAGAGGGCTGCAGGAGCCATTTTAGTTTAGGGAAAGCACCATTTCAGAGAGGGGGAGTGGCCTAGGCCTGAGCCAGCCTTAGAACAGCCAGGATTGGTTTATTAAAGGGGGGCGGAGTTAGACTGTTTGGAGGGAAAGAAGAGGGCTTTTTCAGTCAGTCTGTGGATGTTAGAGTTTAGAGCAGGATTACAGAAGTTTTTAGGAGTTCGTGTTAAGAGTAGGCAGTTTGCCTTAAGTTTGCCAGCGAAGTAAGCTGTAGCAAACTGGGTACAGCTATTTAGGGAAGAAATAGCTGGGTTTTGTAGTTAGCTAGGCCACAGTTGAGGGTAGCTAAGCTACAGTTGTATCTTGGCAGAGATTCAGATCCTGTCAAGAGTACTTGTGTTTAAAGAGAAGAAAATCTTTATATTTATAACAAAGAAAGAACCATTCACATGTAACCGTTACGCTTGCAAGAACCAGAACATTTTATCTGTAACAGCCAAGCTTATTAAACAGCATTTACACTTTCTCCGTATTCTCATCAATAAACTTTTCTTGATTATTTTTAAAACTAAAAAGCCTGAGTCAAGTGTACCCTTTGTGGCTATAGTCCTTTTCCCAAACAACCTCACCTGTTTCTTTGAAGAAGATATAATAAGACAATGTCTGGTGGTCTTAAAAAGCCTTTTTAATATTTTAAACAGCTAGAGTGTTCCTGTACAATTGTTTATGGTGGCAGCGGAAGTTAATTAGTGAGACAATCCCCTCAAACGTTCTATTGGTGCCAAAGTGGTGTAAATTCTTTATATTGGAGGGACAGTTGGTGGGATTTGCTTTATCCCTGTCCAGCTGTTGTTTGGCCACACGACGTGCCTTTATAATTTGGTTTGCAGCGGTGTGGGATCGTGTAACATCTCAATCCAGAGCATTTTTGTGAGAATCCTGAGGTAAATTTTTGTCAAAACGTGACACTTAAGAATTACCTCAGAGACAGGACACCTCTAGCGCCATTTTAACACACATTAGGCACCATGGCACCACCAAAAACAAAGAAGGGTACTTCTGAAGAACCAGAAAGAGAAGGGGAGACAACTGCTTCTGTAGTTGAGGAAACTGAGACCCAAGTACAAGAGAGTAGACAAGAACAGATAGCTACCTCTTTGTCAATTGAAAAGCTTAGGCTAGAAATGAGGTTGAGAGAACTTGAGTTTCAGGCTGAAAGAGAAAAAATGCAGATGGAAAGAGAAAGAGAAAAAATGCAGATGGAGAGGGAAAGAATGCAAGTTGAGGTAGAAAGAGAAAGAGAACTTTAAAACATGAGGAGAGAATGGCAGAACTACAATTGAGAGAAAGAGAGAGAACTCCTAACTTAAGCCAACAGCAGGACTCTAACATGCAAAGAGTTTTAAAGAACTTTCCTCGTTATGTAAAAGGGGACTGCGTGGAGTCATTTCTGGCTAGCTTTGAACGGGCTTGCCACGATTTCGAGGTACCTGAAGCCAAAATGATGGTGTACCTGAGACCACTACTTTGTGGGGAACTTAGTGAGGTTTACGCTGATCTGAGAGAGGCAGAGAGTGCGAGTTACCTCATATTTAAAGAAAGGGTGAAGCTGAGGTTTGGCTTGACCCCTGAACAAAGTAGGAAAATGTTCAGGGAGATCAAAAGAAAGCCAGGAGAAACCTTTTCACAATTGGGAAGCCGAGTGGAAAAAGCCTTAGAGAGATGGCTTGAAGGAAGTAAAACGACCACGTTTGAAGAGTTAAAGCATTTAGTTTGTATGGAACAGTTTTATCGACTGATCCCCATACAAATGAGGTGGTTCGTTAAAGACAAGAAGATTAAACAAGTGTCAGATCTCGCAGCTTGGTTGGATGAGATGGAGCATGACTGGAATGTGAGTCATAGCTCAGGAGCCACCAAGAGACCGAGGGAATGGGTTCCAAAAGAGAAAACTGACGTGGGAAACCAAAATCCTGTCAGGAGGGACCGCATTCCAGAGATTGCCACAGGAAAACTTGTCTGTTACTTCTGCCATCAAGAGGGTCATAAGAAAACGGCTTGCCCTAAATTAAACACCCAGAAAAGGCCAGTTACACCACCAAAGCCAGTTAAGGTGGTTAGGCAAATATCTCCACATGAAGAAAGTCAGTCTCCACACACACAGGAAGAGCCTGTAAAGATAATGTGAGTATGGAGTACTGAGAAAGAGACAAATGGAGATTATTTGAGGGTGATCAAAGTGAAGGGTTAAGAACTAATGGGGTTCAGAGACACTGGGTCTGAAGTATTGCTCATTAGGCCGGAGTTTGTCAAGAAAGACCAGATACTTCCAGGCCAAAAGTACAAGGTGAGAGGAATTTATGGCCCTGTTTTCGAAGTGTCAGTGGCTGAAATCCCAATAGAATACAAGAACTTCTCTGGAAAATGGAGAATGGGACTTTTTAATGACTTAGAAGTTCCAGTATTGTTGGGCAATGATTTGGCTGAACGCTGTAGGCATGTTAATATGATTACCAGAAGCCAAGCTAAGCTAGAAGAGGAGGCTGAATACAGTGTTGCTGATGAACAACCATCTACCTCACAAACAGAAAATGTCAGCCAAGAAATTCCCTTCAGTTTAGATTAAAGCCATATGAGACAGTTTGAAGCCGCCCAGCAACGTGATGAAAGCTTAAAAACTTTGTGGGATGAAGTGGTCCCAGAAAACCACACACCCACAAGTGAAGAACCAGTTTTGTTTAAAGTTGTGGAGAATAAATTGTACAGAGTTGTGAGGAGACCAAAGGGTCCCAAATTCTTTGAGGAAAGAACACAACTGATAGTACCACAAAAGTATAGGGCTAAAATCCTCAAGTTAGCCCATGATACCACCTTCAGTGGACACCTAGGTATTAAGAAGACCAAAGATCGCATCCAGTCTAGATTTTTTTGGCCAGGAATGGGAAGTGATGTGACAGCCTATTGCAAGACTTGTGAGACTTGTCAAATGGTGGGAAAAGCCAAAGATAAGACAAAAGGACTGTTACAATCCATTCCAGTTGTCACTGTTCCCTTTGACAAGGTCGGAGTGGACATCATTGGCCCTATGTCCCACAAGACACTTGATGGACATAGATTCATCTTGACTGCCGTGGACTTTGCCACACGATACCCAGAGGCAATTCCATTGAAGGAAACTGACGCCAAAACAGTGGCAGACGCGCTGCTCAATATATTTGCACGCGTGGGTTTCCCTAGATCTATCATTACAGATCTTGGAGCTACATTCATGTCGCAGATGATGCAAGAACTGTTCCGGACCTGCAAGATAAAGCATCTTACTTCTACTCCATACCATCCTCAAACCAACGGCTTGACGGAGAGATTCAACGGTACCCTCAACCACATGCTGAAGGCGTACGTCCACAAGAACCCTAATGATTGGGACAAGAAACTTCAACACTTCTTGTTTGCCTATCGGGAGGTTCCACAAGCCAGCACCAAGTTCAGCCCATTTGAACTGTTATATGGGAGAACACCAAGAGGACCTATGGACATTTTGAAGGAAGCATGGACAGGAGCAGAGGACATTCCAGAGACTGATATCAACAGCTACATCGAGGACTTACGAGGACATTTAACAACCATGAGAGACTGCGCAGCCGAGAGTTTGTCAACTGCCCAGCTGAAGCAGAAAGAACAGGCGGATCTTCATGCAAGACACCGATGTTTTGATGTGGGAGATAAGGTCCTGGTTTTAAAACCAAGATCTAAGAAGAAACTGGAGGTTTCTTGGGAGGGACCTTATGTAATATTGTCTAAGATTTCGGAAGTCACTTATCTGGTGGGGGAAAACATAGATGGGGGAAGGTGTAAGAAATTACATGTGAATATGCTTAAACCTTACTACTCCAGGGCTAGGGTAGTTATGCAAGTATCCCAGGAGACAGATGGGGAGGTTACACTGTCGGGATGGGGAAAGGTAACGGCGGATTGTACTTTGCCCTCTGTGGATGAGAATAACAACTTAACAGATCCACAGAAACAACAGTTGAAGGATCTATTATACCAGCATAGGGAGGTATTTTCCAATATACCGGGTAGAACCCATTTAGCTTGTCACCGGATAAATACAGGGACAGCTAACCCTATAGCATCTGCCCCATACCGCGTAACAGGAGAACAAGCCAGACTGATCTCAAAAGAGATACAAGAAATGTTAAACCTTGGTTTAATTGTACCATCGAGTAGCCCATGGTCATCTCCAATTGTGTTAGTACCAAAACCAGATAATACCATCAGATTCTGTGTAGACTACCGTAAATTAAATCAGGTTACCATCTCAGATGTGTATCCGATGCCGCGAATAGATGAGCTAATAGAGACCATAGGGTCAGCCCAATACATAACAACCCTGGACCTCACCAAAGGATATTGACAGGTGGCTATGCACCCAGAGGACCAGGAGAAAACCGCTTTTATTTCTAAGGATGGGTT